TCTGGACTGGCAGACTGGGGTGGTGGTTCTGGACTGGCAGACTGGGGCGGTGGTGGTTCCCCTCTTCAAAAAGGGGGACTGGAGGGTGTGCTCCAGTTACAGGGGCATCACTCTCCTTAGCCCCCCAGGTAAGGTCTACTCAGGGGTACTGGAGGAGAGTCTGATCGTTGGTCGAACCTCAGATCCAGGAGGAACAATGTGGGTTCTGTCCTGGCCATGGAACACTGGACCAGCTCTTTATCCTCACTAGGGTCCTCGAGGGGTCATGGGAGTTTGCCCAACATGTGTTTTGTGGACTTGGAGAAGGCATTCGTCCATGTACATGGTGGGGGGGTGTTCCACGAGTATGGGATTGAGGCCCGTTGTTACGGGCTGTTCGGTCTCTAAACAAGCGGTGTGAGAGTTTGGTTCTCATTGCCAGCAGAACGTCGGACCCCTTCAGGGTGGGAGTTGGACTCCACCAGGACTGCCTGATGTCACAGATTCTGTTCTTAACTTTTCTGGACAGAATTTCTTGGTGCAGCCAGGGGGCGGAGGGAGTCCAGTTTGATGTCCTCAGGATTCAGCTCTGCTCTTTGCAGATGATGTGGTCCTGCTGGCGTCATCGTGCCATGATCTCCAGCTCTCACTGGAGCGGTTCACAGACGAGTGTGAAGCAGCTGGGATGAGAACCAGCACCTCCAAATCAGAGGCCGTGGTCCTCAGTCGGAGAAGGGTGGATTGTTCTCTTCAGGTCGAGGGTGAGGTTCTGCCTCAAGTGGAGGAGTTCAAGTATCTCAGGGTTTTGTTCATGAGTGAGAGAAGAATGGAGTATGAGATTGACAGACGGACTGGTGCAGCATCTGCAGTATTGCGGACTCTGTACTGGTCCATTGTGGTGAAGACGGAGCTGAGCTGTAAGGCAAAGCTCTCTGTTTACTGGTCGGTCTACGTTCCTCCCCTCACCTCTGGTCATGAGCTCTGGGCAGTGACAGAAAGAATGAGATCGTGGATCCAGGAGGTTGAGATGAGTTTCCTCTGCAGGGTAACTGGACTCTCCCTTAGAGATGGTGAGAAGTTCAGTTATCAGGAGAGACTCAGAGGAGAACCACTGCTCCTCCACATCAAGAGGAGCCAGTTGAGGTGGTTCAGGCATCTGGTAAGGATGCTCCTTGGGTGCATCCCTAGGGAGGTGCTTCCGACATATCCGAGTGGGAGGAGACCCCAGGGAAGACCCAGGACACACTGGACAGACTTTGTCTCTTGGTTGGTCTGGAAACACCTTGGAGTCCTCCCAGAAGTGCTGGAAGAGGTGACTGTGGAAAGAGATGTCTGGACCTCCGTGATGAAGATGCTGCCCTGAGATCTGACTCCAGATCAAGAGGAAGCTAGGAAGCTCAAGAGGAAGCTAGGAAGCTCAAGAGAAAGCTAGGAAGCTCAAGAGGAAGCTAGGAAGCTCAAGAGGAAGCTAGGAAGCTCAAGAGGAAGCTAGGAAGCGGCTGGGCTGGGCTGGGCTGGGCTGGGCTGGGCTGGGCTGGGCTGGG